CACTGGAGACACTGCAGTGCACAAGAGACAAGGTCTAGGGACTGGCAGAGCTTTCGGTCTAGTAGGAGTAGAAAAGCAATAAACAAGAAGACACAAAGTAAAAAGCAAACACACATAAATAAGAGAAAATAATTTGGGATATCGATAAGGGTTACGGAGAAAATAAATAATAGGATTGGGGATGGTAGCATTAGATAAGTTCATTAGAGAAAGCTTCCTGGAGGGGGCAACATGTGAACACCTGAGTGGTAAGCCAGCCCTGCCCAGATCTGCTGAAAGCTTTGCAGGCAGAGGGAACAACAAATGCAAAGGCACAGCGGGAAGCTAGCTTGACCTGAACAGAGGGGTCACCTGGAACCTGAGGTTAAAGTGGAAGGGAAAGCCAGAGTCTCATGGGCCATGGTAAGAATTCTGGATTTTATTCTAATACAAGGAGAGGACACTGGAGGCTACATGGGAGTGACATGCGGTTGAGGCTTCTCAAGAGAATCACTTTGACTGTGATGTGAGGGATGGGCCGTGGGGGAAGCAAAATGTAGGCAGAGAGGAGGCTCCTGCAGTCCTTCAGGAGAAGAGGGCCGGGCTGGCACAAAGTGTCTGTATCCGGGAGATGTCTGGGAGGTGGAGGGAATAGGGAAGTGGAGTAAAGCAATTCCAAAGTTGGTGTGAGCAGCCAGGTGATTGGGGATGTCGTAATGAAGTATTGAAAAGGAGAAATAGTGGGGGGTGGGGCAGGCCAGGAGCCAGTCTGGGGGGCAAAAGTCAAGAAGGCATGTTTGGACATGCTGACTCGAAGATGATTTGTGGCGATGTTAGATAGACAGAAACCGTATGACAAGACAGATATTGACAGCCCCAGACAGAAGCCAGAAAAAGAGGAGGAGAGCTAAGAAAAACGGAAGTAAGAGAGACAAATGCTCAACGAGATGCTGAGACTCAAAACAGAGTCGGAGGAGCAGGCACGCGGAGTGAAAGGCTCAGAACAGCCCCTGGAGAGGTAGCCTCAACCGCGACCCTCAGGGACCAGCGTAGAGACGGGCACCTGGGTGAGACATACATGGGGTCTCCTCCTCTCAGGCCTCCTCCTGTGACCCTCTCTCTTTCTTCAGGCCCAGGGTCCCTGGAGAACTCAGCGCCGAGGCCCCCGGGGCCCCTAACCCTCCTCTCCGCCCTGGGCTGGCTGTGGTGGAGGATGTAGGAAGAACCCAGTGCTGCTCGCCTCCCCCTGCGGGGGGCCTGGGGCTGAAATCAAGAGAAAAATGGGGAGCAAGCGACGTGGGTCTCGAAGGGGTGGAAGAGCTCTCGGCCACCGAGGAAGAGGAGAGGAGGAGAAAGAAGAGGAGGGAAAAAGATCTTTAGAGAACCCATCACTGTGAGGGATAACGCAAAATTATGCATCTTTCTACAGCCATTCTCGCCACCGTTCACGTTTCCGATTGTGACCCACCGCCACCCCACACCCCTCTCTTAGCTCAGGCTGTCAACTGGATCGCATGTGTGTAGTGGGTGTGTGTGCGCGTGAGCCTGCACGTATGTGTATGTGTGTGGGGGGTGGTTGCTTGGGGTGGAAAGGAAGCTTGGCAATCTTCCCTTCTCTACACCTCCATGTCCACTGCCCCCAACCCTGCTGCCTCTCCCCTCGGGCTGGAGGTAGGTATGGGGGCTTCGTGGTAGCAGATGTGTTAGGGGAAGTTTTTGAAGCTCCCTGCTTTCCCAGTATATGCACGCACACTGCCCCCTCCCTTCCTTACTGAGAGGGTGTCTCCAGGGCTGGTTGGGAGTGGGGATGGGTGTCGCACTTACCTGCAAGCTGTTATTCAGCCTTTGTGAGCAGGTGGGGAGTCTGGGCTCTGTACCCGCCCCTGCCATCAACCACCAACTGCCTGTAGCCAGAGGCCCCATCACTGGCTCAGCGGCCTGAGACCTTCCCCACTTTCCCTGTCCTTCCCCCACAGCCCTGGACTTTCTGGCCCCCTCCTGGGCCAATCGGTGCTTCCATCCCACTGTCAGGCTGGTGCCTGTGGTCACCTGTCTGTCTCAGTGCTTTGCCCCACCCCACCTCCACTCCCTTTGGCCACCTGCAGCACCAACCAGCTGCCCTCAGCGCCCCTGCAGCCGGCTCACGCCTGTGGGCTTGCTGGTCTACTCCCTGGCCTCTCCAACCAACTGTACCTCCCAAAGACTGACCCAACAGCCCTCACACACGCTCAGATAGACACACACATACACACACACCAGCGACTGACCAGCAATAGCCCCCCTGGCTCCAGCTGTCCTGTAGCCAGTGACCAGCTGTCATTCCCCCAAGGGTGGACAACTGTTGTTAGGAGGGGACAGGAAGAGCCTCAGCTCTGATTGTAGGAATGTCCCACCCTGGCACACCACATCTCGCAAAGTGGAGGGGAGGCCTCACACAGACATCCCGAGCCCAGACCAAGATGCCAAGCCACCAGCTCCGATTCCCTGGAGACCCTCTATAAATACCCACCCCAAACCACACCACCCAGAGCTTGGGGCGGGGGGGAGGAAGAGGGCAGAGCAGGGGCCGGGGGCAAGGGGCAGTGACTGTACCTCAGACAGGGGCGTGGGCCCCATCCCACATTGTCTTCCATTCCCAGGGTCCAGGGGACAGGGTGGGGAGGGGGAGGGATACAAGGGAGGGGGTGGGGGGACCCTGGGGGCCGTGTGTTCCAATCCATGGGGAGTGTCGAGACCACCACACCAATAAACGCCTTTTTCCAAAGTCTCTGCCTGCAGGTGTCAATGTCATTAAGGATTTGGGTGCATGGAGGGCAAAGAATCACTGGTGCCTCCCCAGCATCATTTCTACCGTCTCCTGTGGTTGCTTTTCTCCATCACATGGAGAGATCTTGGGGGACAGCAGTGGTAGGGAAGACAGAACGTGTAGCCTGAGAATGATAGAAACACTACGGAATGGAGAGTGGAAGGTCTAGAGAAACTAAGTCCATGATGACATCACTTGAGCTGCTGGATCAAAACTTACCTGATGCCCACCTTCACTTGCATAAGCAATAAAGTCCTTGGTATGTTTAAGCCCATTTGTGTTAGGTTTTGTCTCTGGTGATCAAAAATGAAATGAAAATTCTTAACTGATAAAGAAGAGCTATAAGGGGTTCAGGTAGCCAGGACCCCAGCCCTCAGCTTTTCAAAATGATCCAATAGCTCTGTTTCCCAAAAGCCTCTTTCACCTCAATCTTTAACAGAATGCCTCATATCCTTTCCTTCCTTAAGATAGATTCTGGTTGTCTATGTTTTAGCTCTTTGTTCCCTCTGTCTTCTTTGCTGCCAGACCCACATCCCGTGATACAGGCTGAGATGTTTGTTTTCCCAGCCTTTCTTGCAGTGATATAGCCAGTTTTTGGTCAATCAGATATAAGGGAAGTTTTCTGATAGGCTTCTAGGAAAGGGTTTTCCCCACTCATGAGGATGGTCAAGGGGAAGGTATGAGAAAACCTCCTTTCTTCTGTCTTCAGATACAGTTGTGTGAAGAAGTGATGCCTGGAGCTGCAGTAGCCATCTTGCTAAATGAGACAATGTTCCAACCCACTAAGGATGGCAGAGCAGAAAGATGCAAAGAGCCCAGGTCATTGATGGGGTCACTAAGTTGCTGACCCAGCCTTGAAACCACCCACTTCCATATTTCTTGCCACCATTTATATCGTTGCTTGTAGCCAAAAGAATCTTCATTCATGCACCCACTAAAATCTCCATCAAGAAACCCAGCTGAGAAAGGAAGACACACTGAGGAGAGCAGCAGCAAACCCTGCTCTCCACTGGCACCAAAACATTTGATCCGTTAACCAATTTTTATTGATTGTCTGCTGTGTGCTAGGCTCTGTATTAAGTTCTGGGGATGACGACATGGTCTCTGCCTTCACGAAGCTCTCAGTTTAGAAAGGCAATTAGAGGCTAAACAAGTAATGATGTATTTATGGACGAGAAGCTAAAGGTTCAGGGTCTCTAGGACCTAATCTATGATGAAGGCAAGGATTAGGGAAGAGTCTTCTAAGATGGTAACGGTCACCTTTACACTTGAGAAATGAACAACACAGGGGGGGAAAGCTGTGCTCCAAGAAGAGTAAACTCTAGGAGCAAAGGCCTAAGACAAAAATAAAGTGTGGCAGAGAGAAAGCCTGTGCTACTGGAGTGGCAGTGGGGAAAGAACTGGAAGGGGAGGTCAGAGAGGCCAACAGAAGCCAAACTACTAGGCTTTTAAGGGCATGATGAGTTTGGACAATATCTGAATGACAATGGACAGCCATAGAAGGGTTTAAAGAGAAGAGAGACATGTGATCTGATCTGTTTTAAGATGAAGATTCTGGAAACGGTGGTGTGGCCTGGAGGAGGCAAAAGTGGACGTAGAAAGGCCTTTTCAGAGATGAGGCAGGGCCCCTCCTCCTGCTCAGAGCAGCACAGCAAGCATCGCCCGTCCACAGCACAGCCCACACGTCTTGCCTGCTTGGTGGACTGCAAACCACACTGTTAGATAAGCAGGAGTCTCTCCCATTCCAGGAGTCCCATCTCCTTATTGCACAAATACAGGTAGAATCTTCTGAGATGAGAGAGGGAGACAGGAAGTCCCACATTCGGGGTCCAACCTTCAGTCACAGCAGGACAGAAAGGCCATGCCTGCTGCTGGGGAGAAGTAGGAAGACCCACCCAAAAACTCCTGCGCAGAGCAGGCCATTAGCCCTGGTCACACCTGCGTGGCTGCTCGAACAGTTTTCGGGCCTGCACCTGGAGAGATGACTGGACTGGGGCCAGTGACCTAGAAGAGAGAAAGGATGGGGGAACAACCTCACAGGTTACCCTGGACATGACTCACCCTTTTCTAGCACTAACTCTCATTATTCATAAATTAGCTGGGTTCCCTCCATTTGCAAGGAATAAAAAAAAGTCTATACATGAAACAACCCAACTTTATGGGGAAGAAGGAATTCCATCCCATTTTGGAGAGAAAATGGAAGTTTTGCCCATTTATGTGGGAAAAGAAATAAAGGAGCTCCCACTCTTTTGGGAAAAAATTGTAATGTCACTCTTCTTTTAAAATACGTAAACCTTGAATGGGAAGCCCTGTCCAACTTTTACATATTTAAAAAAAAAGTATAAATTTTACCAGCTTTGTAAACCAACACATAAAGCTGGAGGAAGAGAATTCAGACTATCTCATGTCCCTGGCTAAACAACAAAAAATTCCACCCTGTTACCAGGGGTCACTGGGGCACCCACACTCACTTGGTGGGCCCCGGTTGTGCCAGGGACCTCCAGTGGGACTTTGAGGGGCAGAGGCTGTGGGGGTTGCACTGGGGCCACGCTCTGCATCTTCTTTTGTAGTGGGGGGACCACAGAGGCAAAGGTGGGGAGATATTTCTTTTTCTTGGGAATTTCTCCTGGGAAAGAGAGAAAAAGAGAAACAGAAACACGTGATTGGCTGCTCCAACATGCTAACCCAGCCAATAGTAAGAGAAGCTGGACTGAGAGGTGGAGCCTTAGTTTGATTGGCTGACATAGAGGTAGGAAGGTGGGACCGATGACCTGTAACTGGGCTGAATAGCTCGGCCAGGTCTCCAATAGGGTTTTATGTGGAGACCCTTCCAGTTGGCCCCTCACTCACCCTGAAAACGGCGCAGGCAGCAGACACACAGGAAAATAAGTGCTGCCAACAGTGCCAGGCCTAGTAGAGAGCCCAGGACGATGCCAGCGATGGCCCCAGGGCCCAGGGTGGGGCCTGAAAGAGACAAAGAGAAGGATAAGGGGAGCAGGAGCCAGGTCTGGACCTGTCTCCAAGGCCTCATGCCCCAACCCTCTCAGAACCCAGGAATCTGGGACTCAGCACTCTCAATTCATTTAACGTTTACTGAGTGACTGTGGTGTTCCTGGCATTCTGCCAAGTGATGAAGATTCATTGGTGAGCAAACCAAGACATCTACTCTTGTGGGGATTAATTTTAGGAGGGAAATCAGAAATGAATGTGTAAATGAATAACATAATTACAGATTGCACTAAGAAGAAAAATAAGTGTGTTATAATAGAAATAATGGGAGGGGAGGTGACATTTAGAAAGAGTGGTGAGGAAAGGTCCTGAGGAAGTAAGATTTGAGCAGAGACCTGAAGAATAAGGAGCCAGGCATGCTAAACAGGGGAAGGGTATTCTAAGCAGAGGGAACAGAAAGCGCAAAGGCTCAGAGGTAGGAAAGAGTTTACTGTGCTCAGTAAAGGCCAGTGTGGGTGGAAGATATGGAATGAGGAAGGACGAGGTAGAGGATGACTTTTGAGGAGTTAGCAGGGGCCAAACCTAGGGGATCTTGTAGGAATTCATGAAAGGCTTTTAAAAAGGGCAGCAGTGATATGATTTGATTTGTATGACTTTGGCTTCTATGTGGTGAAGAATGGGTTGTAGGAGGACATGAGGGGGCATAAAGAGACCAGGTAAATGGCTGTTGCAGTCCAAGCAAGAGCGGATGGTGGTGTCTGACCAGGGTGTTGAAGTGGAGATAGAAAGAAATAGATGGATTAGGAAAGCATTTTGGAAGGAAAGTTAACAGGACCTGCTAGTATTTGGGATGTTGGAGGTAACTGGAGCATGTGGGTGGTACCATTGACCAAGATTGGAAAGACTGGAAGTTGTTGGGGGGTGTGGGGGTGGGAAGGAGGGGACACAGTTTGGGGCAAAACCATCAAGAGGTCTATTTTGGACATGTGGAGTTCAAGATGCCAGCCGGACATTCAAAGTAAAGATGTCAAGTAGGGAGATGGCTTTTCAAATGTGGAGTTCAGGAGAAAAGTCTGGGTTCCAGATCAGACATTTGAGAGTTATCTGAGTAATGATAATATTCAAGGCAATGAGAGTGGACAGAGTTCCACTGGGGAGAAATACAGGTAGAGACGAGGTCTGAACACTGAGCACTAAGATATCCAATACTTAGAAGTTTGGGATGATTATATGTTGAATTATCCCCCCCAAAAAAATATATTGATATATCCTAGCCCCCAGTACCCGTGAATGTGACCAATCAACTCAAGGTAAGATGATTAAGGTGCACCCTAATTCAATATGACTAGTGTCCTTACAAGAAGAAGACAGAGGCACCCACAGGGAGGAGGAGGCTGTGGGGAACTGGAGGCAGAGATGGGACTGATATGGCTGCAAGACAAGGAACATCAAGGACTGATGGCCACCATCAGAAGCTGGAAAAGGCAAGCAAGGACTCTACCCAGAGTCTCAGAAGGAGCATGGTCCCAGTGACACCTTCATTTTGAACTTCGGGCTTCCAGAGCTATGAGAGAATACATTTCTCTTGTTCTGTCCAGTTCAGGGTCCTTTGTCACGGCAGCCCCAGGAAATTAATACAGGGAGAGAGGGAGCATCCAATGAAACAGATTTAGGGAGAAGCCCGGGAGAAGGCTCTGACAGTCCAACTCACCAGCTTTGTAGACCCGGGTTTGTGATGGGGTCCCTGGCAGGCCCCCCAGGATGGGCAGGATACGCAAGGCCCATGTCCCAGGGTTCCGAGGAGGGAAGGGCACCACTGCTGACCGCTCCTGAGGCCCCAGGGTAAGCAGGGGGACCCAGTCTTGGTAAGTGTTGGCTCTGCCCGGGTCAGGCCCCTCTGTCCGTGCCTGGATCTCAAAACCGCTGATCAGCGCTCCACGCTCCACATCCCAAGTCAGCACGGCTGCATCCCGGGCTCTCTGCAGCCTCCATGAGGAGACGGAGGGTCCTGGAGGGATCAAGATGAGGTGGAATTTGTGGGTCCTACAGGGGAGGGGGAAAAGGGGCTGCGGGCCTGGAGTCATAGGTCTCAAGGGGAGAGGGTCTGGAGACCCAGACTTCTGGGCCTGTGAGGGTGAGGGGCTGGGGGTCTGGACTCCTGGATCTGAGGGAGGACGCTCGGGGTCTAAACCTCTGGGTCCGAGGAAAGTGAGGGCTGGAGGACCTGGACTTCTGGGTTCTGGGAAAGGATGGAACTCACCAATGAGGGTGATCTGGTCGCCCCCAGCACCCAGCGCCCCACTGCACAACACAGAGTAATCCCCCAGGTCCCAATCCAGGCTGAAGTTGCCAATGAGGAGCCTCCGCCCATCTTGGCTGGGCCGCAGTCTCCCCCTGCCTCCTGAGGCCAGGGGCCGCCCTTCCCGTGCCCAGAACGCTCTCGAAGGTGGCTGACAGCCAGAGGCCTCCAGTGCCACCTCTGCCTCCCCTGACCGTGTCTTCTCCACCACCGGATGCAGTAGCACCTCTCGAGGGGCCTCTGCAGGTGCAAAAAAAACCAGTTAAGGAGGTCAAGACCTTGTCCTGGAGTCAAAGAACAAGTCCTGCCCCCTTTGGTGAGTCAGAAGCAGTGAAACCTCAGTCCCTCGGACAAAAGAGGAAGGGTTACCCATTTACTCCCTCCCTGGTTCACTCATCATCTGCTTTCCTTAACAAGGACTTATTGAGTACATACTAGAGGCCAGGTACTAGAGGCCAGAGAATACTAAGTTATTCTCTGCCACTTATTGCTCTGAACACGTGGGAAGGTGTCAGCCCTTTTCCTAGGTCCAGGAAAGAAATTTTGTCCTGCCCCTGCTTGAGGTTTAGGAAAAACCTGGGTCTTTCTGTAGGGTTAAAGACAAAGGAAATCCCTTTTCCTGGAGTTGGAAAGTCCTCCTTTCTCATGTACTAAAAGAGCTAAGAAATACCCCGTCCTCCTCCGGAAATAAGAAAGAAGTCCCACACGCTCTCACCCGGGGTGACAGTGCAGGTGCGCGTGGTCACCAGGTGTCGAGCAAAGCAGGTGACAGGGACGCCGCTGAGACGGGGGTGGGCGGGGACAGCCGCCAGGAGCACAGAGGGTACCGGTCCCGCGCGGACGCCTTCAGGGAGACCCTGAAACTGCAGGGAGGCGGCAGGAACCCCGCCAGGCCACCAGCAGCGAAAGCGGAGGCTGCGTTCCTCGGGATCCCCTTCGACTGAGCACTGTGGGGACCCGGGGGGCAGATCTGTGGAGCCGGCAGAGACCAAGAGATCAACCTCACTCCCCTTTCCTCTCTAGCCCCGCCTCTCGGAGCGTTCATCTCACCCCTTTTCACTTAGACCCGCCCCTAGCCGCTAACCACGCCCCTCCACGCTGGCCCCGCCCCCTCCCCGGGCCTCTCAGCCCCTTGCTGGTTCCACTCCTTCTCCTGGGCATCCCTGCCACTTTCACGAGGAATCTTCGCCCTTCCTTCCAGGCCCGGCGCTCCGGCAATAGCCCTGACCCTGCATGCCGGCCCCGCCCCCTCCCGGGGTGTAGTCCAGCCCCTTACGGTTCTGCCCCTTCTCCAGGGCAACCTCTCCCCTTTTACAGGGCATCTGTCCTTCCACCCCTCCGCGGTGGCCGCGTCCTCTCCAGCACCTCGCCCTTCCATCCCGCCTAGGCTGAGCTCACCCGCGACCGTGAGGTTGAGCAGCGAGCGGCGGCGGCGGCCTGTGCGTGGGTTCGCCGCGAGGCAGCCGTAGGCGCCGGCGTGGCCCGGCCGGACAGCAGGCAGCAGGAGGCGCGGGCCGGCGGGCACCGCGGCCTCGGCGGGGTCAGCCAGGCTCCACGCGATGTCGGCTGGCGGCCGCGAGGCGGCGGTGCAGCGCAGGGTCACGCTGCTGCCCGCAGTAACATAGAGGGCGGGGGTGGCGTCCCGGTCTGAGGAGATCTTGACGACCGGCGGATCCGGACCGTCTGGGTAGAGGGAGGGGGTCGGAACCGCGAGAGTCGGAGTCACCCGGGACTCATCCAGATACCCCGGAGATTAGACCTCCAGCCCCCTCCTCCCCGGGGACTCAGGAGCCTGGACTGCCAGGTCCCTGCCCCCAACCCCAGGCATCCTCTAACTCACAGAAGACGCTGACGTTCGCTGCGGCCTCGGTGTGGCCAAAGGGGCTGCTGACGCGGCAAGTGTACCGAGCGTGGTCGCTGCGCACAGGGCGCGCGATGAGTAGCTGGTCTCCCTCTGCGCGGATCCGAGGCGGCTCCGCTCCCTCCGGGTCCGCTGCGTCCAGGGCGCTTCCGTCCCGGCTCCAGCTCAGCTCCCCGCGACCCGGCCCCCACCCCATGCAGCGCAGCCGGAGCTCGGCTGCCCCTTCCTCTGTCTCCGGGGCCTCCGGCTGCACCGACAGCTGAGGCAGGGGCTCTGAGAGAGAGGAAGCGTGCTCGTTTGTCCCTTAGGTCCAAGACTCCAGCCCCAGCCCCTACACCCTCTACACCTAGGGCTTCCAGGTGCAGCCGCAGCCTCCTCTTAGCCCCAGAAGTCCTCTTCTCACAGGCCCAAGAGTCTGAGTATCCAGCTTTCTCCTCTAGAGAACTCAGGAGTTGGGGCCCCCCCGGGAGTCTTGATCCCCAGTTCCAACTTCCCTCTGGTGCCCCTATCTTGTCCCCTAGCCCCTTTTGTCCTCCCTCCCTCCAACTCAGAAGTCCTTTCTCCCCTGTCCAGGGACCCCTTCCTCTGGTGACCTGCCCAAAGGTCTGGCAGAGCAGCCCCTACAGCCTGCATTCTGGGCCTTCGAGCCCGCTTACCATACACGCCCACCGTGAACTCCCGAATCTGCCGAGAGACCCCGGCCCGGATGATCTCAGCCGTGTAAACCCCGGCATCCTCCAGTTGGGCAGAGGCGAGTTCCAGGCCCCCTCTAGCCTGGTCAAATCGTAGGCGGTCTCGGTGAGCCGGGTCCAGGCTGATCAGAGGAGCCCTTGGCCCCAGGCCCCCAGCTGCCAGCACCTTGGAGCCCCGGCGCCAGACCACCAGAGGGGCAGGGGGCCCAGGGCTGGGGGCTGGAACCAGGGGGAGCTGGATGGTGGTCCCCACCAGCACTGCAAGAGGGCCCCCCACCTGCTGGGGGAAGCTTGTCCCTGGGGTGGTCTCTGCAGGAATTTTAAGATCCAGATCCTCAGGGGAGAACTTTGAACCTGGGTCCTCCACGGATACTTTAGTATCCGAGATTTGAACAGAATTGTCTGAAGCTGGGGTCATAACAGAGAAGGAAGGTTCTGGGTCTGTGGCAGGAACTTGAGAGCCCAAGATATCAGGAAATACTTGGGAATCTGGGATCCCAGAGAAGGTGGGATCCAGGCCCAACTTTCCATCTTCAGCAGAAGCATTTGACCAGAAGGACCCAGGCACATCATTCTCATTCAGGGCCTCAGGGAACCATTTGGAATGGGGGACATCAGCGGTGGCTTTTGAACCTGGAGACTGATCTGGAAATTCCCAGCCAGGGGTTTTGATGGAGGGAACATTCGAACCCGGGCCCTGAGAAGAGCTTTCTGAGTCAGAGATGAAATTGGTTCGCTGAACTCCAGAAGAGGCTCTGAGAGCGGGGACCTCTGCTCCGGAGGCTGCAGAGGAGAGGAGGGGAGGGTGTTGGGGGGCTGCTGAGAAGGGAGACCGGTGGAGAAGCAGCTGAGCAGGGGACTTACCCAGGAGCAGGAAGAGTGGCAGAGCCCATGAGGTGTCCATGGTGCTGGCCGCACCCGAGAAGACACTGAAGTGAAACTCAGGGCCAGCACCTGTCCCTTCAGGGACGAGTCTGACAGGACTGGTAGCTTCCTGGGCGGGGAAGAGAGCCAGACACAGTGGGAGGTGCCAGGGTCCCCTACCCCAATCTGGTGGCTCAGCAGCCCACCCCACCACACTGGTCCTCATCAGCCGGTCCCATCTGAGGGGAAGCCCAGCCTGAACCCTGCCCTCCCCACCCCCAGGGTTGAGAGCTGAGTCCCAGGTGGAAACATGGGAACAAAGCCAGGGAGACTTCCTGGAGGAGGGTGAGGTGACTTTTCAGAGAGCCCCATCTCTGATGGCCTTAGCCTCAGCTCATGCTCCCTCCTTCCCAGCCTCCTGGCCTTAGGTCCACTATGTCCTGCCTGCAATCTCAGATGCCCATGTCTGACCCTGTTCCTCCTCTGCTCCAAACCCTCCATGGCTCCCTGTTGCCCTCAAAACCAAGTCTCAAAGCTATCTCCCACCCAATCATCTCTCCTGAGACCCAGAGCTGCACCTCCATGTACCCAGAGTCTCCATGCTCTGCATCCCACATAACTCATTATCTTCCCTCTAACCCGACCTTCCTTCTTGGATTCTCCATCTTAAGTATGGTTCCCCCATCTGTGCAGGGCCTGGGAGCCTTCCTTCCTCCTCCCTCCCCCTCACTGCTGTCAATCTCTGAATTCCATCCCTGTTGCCCCCTGCATCTCTCTGCCCCATCCTTTTTTCTCTGTTCTATGGGCGCCAGGCCCCAGCACAGGCCTCATCCTCTCCCTCTTCCCCTCACCTAGCCTTCTCTCTCCAGTCTTGTCTCCTCCAGTCCGAGGAATCTTTCTACACCCAGAGCTGCCCCTGCCCCTTACCTCCTCTCAGCCCTCCCATGGCTCGCCAGCACCCTCAGGAGACATCCAAGGAATTTCCAGACCCTGTGTGGCCTAGACCCACATACTCTACCCACTTCCTACCCACTCCAGCACTTATACTTTGAACACACTACCATTCTCAGGCCCCAACTCTCCCCTCCCAGATTTGCAGGTGCAGTTTCCTCTGCCTGGAATGCTGTCTCCCCACCCCCCTCCAACCTGGCTAAACCACAACTTGTCCTTCAGGTCTCTTAAGAACCAAAATAGTAATTACCACTTATCTTGTTCAGGAACCGTGCAAAAATGCTTCCCAGGCATTATAGGGCTAAATGCCCTATGAGCTGGGCGTTTACAAACCAGGGGACAATGGTTCAGAGAAGTCAAGGGACCTGCTGGAGGTTGCACAGCCAGAGGGAGATGCTGGGCCTCAACCCGGGATGGTCAGGCTGCTCACTCTTTCTGAAAGCTTCTCCTACTACCCCATGCGGGCCTTAGTGCCCCTGCTCAGCTCCCAGTCCTTTGAGCTCACCCAGGCACAGTTCTCAAAAGCTGATAATAATAATGATAATACATAGGGAGCATTTTCTGTGTGTCAGGTGTGGTTCTGAGGAGTCCACATTAATTAACCCTTCAAAAACCTATGGGGTAGGTTTTGTAACTTAAAGATGGCTGCAAATTCAACCCTCCTCCCATTAAGGAGTAGGGTCTCTGTTCCCTCCCCTTACATCTGGGTGGGCTCTGTGATCGCTAAACCAAGAGTATAGTGGAAGTGACCCCATGTTTCTGCATTTAGGCCTTGAGAGCCTGGCATATTCCACTTCCTGTATCATGGAACACTCCTTTTTGGAACTCAGCTGCCACCTGTGAGGAAGCTCAAGCAGCCTCATGGAGAGAAATCATGGCCTCTGGTCAACAGCCAGATGGAGCCAATAGCCTCAGCCAGCTTGCAGGCCACATAACTGAGCCATCTTGGACATTGACCCTCTGGTCCCATTTAAGCCACCCCAAGTGATGCTGCATGGAGGAGAGGCAAGCTGTCCCTGCCAAACCCTGCCCAGATTTCAGACTTATGAGCAAAATAAATGACTACTGGTTTAAGCCCCCAAGCAACAGACAACCAGATCACAGGTACTGTTACTAACTTCACCTGATGGAACAGGAAACCCAATCTCAGAGTAGGAACTTGCCAAGTGTCCTCCTGGAGCCAGGGATTGACCAGGCTGGGATCTGAACCCAGGGTCTCAGGATCCAGACCCCAAGTCCTTAACCACTACAGTAAGCTCTGACTGCTTCGATTAGCCAGATGAGGACGCTGAAGCTCAGAGATGGAAAGTAACTCACTCCAGATCACCCAGCTGTAAGGTTTTGAAATCCCTGTCTGACTCCAGGCCCCAGCTTTTCATGCCCGCACTAGGTTTGGATTGTCTGTTGTTTGTCTGTCTCCCCAGTCGGCATCAGAGCTTCTGGCATCAGAGCTTCTGGCCTCATTCCCTCTAGAGTCTCAGCAGGGGCCTGGCACTTAGAAGTCCCCAGCAAATGCTTTGCAGATGAAAGCCCATCCTCCACATCACTGAGATTTGTCTTTCAAGACTCAGCTTAGATGCCACCTCCCTGGGAAGTCTCTTTGTCCCACAGGCCAGGTCGGATGCCTCACGTGGGCTCCCAAGTGCCCAGCGATGCCTCCGCTTATAGCATACAGCACCCCACATCACAGCTGCCTTTGCCCATGTCAGTCCCCTCTTCAACATGGAAGCTTCTCGAGTGCAGGGACTGTATGTGACTCACCTGGGTCCCCAGCATCGCCCAGCACAAGGCCTGGCTCACAGGAAACCTAAGTAAATGTTTGTTGAATGAATCAAAGAATGGGTGTCCGTGGAATGAGGTAAGAGACAGATGTTGGGAGTCATAGTTTTATTGCCGAGTTTCACGGAAGGGGCTCAAATCCGCCCAATCTCCTTCAGCTTGGCTACCAGGTCCTCCGTGGTCTCCACCTTGACGCCGGCCGTGCGCTGGGGCGGGTCCTCCACACTAACCACGGAGAGCTTGGAGGTCAGGTCCACACCCAGGTCCCCGGCCTTGAGCACCTCGATCTTCTTCTTTTTGGCTTTCTACACACAGGAAGCCATGGTTCCCAGGGCTGCTGAGGCCCAGCCCTCCCTCCTGCAGCCCCTTTCATAGTGCCACGTCTGCAGATCCACTCCCACTGGTGAACCCTTCTGGACCTAGCCACTGGCCAGGACACATGTGTGATTTCTGGCCGTGGACAATTCCTGTTGGCTGGGATGTCTTGGGAAACCCTTCTATTATGGGAGTCCGCTAGCTTGGGAAGCTTTTCGCTGGCTAAAATGAATTGGCAAACTCATCCTTCCGGCAGTAATAACTCACTGGACTTTTGGCCAAGCTGACCCACTGAACTCTCCCTGTTGGATGGATGTCCCACTAAACTCTCCTTATTGGCTGAGATGACCCAATAAATCCTCATTTGGCTAGGATTATACAATGAACTCTTCCTGTTGGTTGGAATGACAAGAGGAACCCTTTTTATTGTCCAATAAAGCCTTTCTATTGGTTGAGATAAACAGCAAACAGCCCCTATGGACTATTATTACTGGCAGAAATGACCCAGTGAGCCCTCTCTGTTAGCCAAAATGACCAGTGATCCCCTCCTTTGCATGAGTTGTCCTTTGGAACCTATCTCCTCCCATCTGACCACCAGGGAGGCACTGGGGCCTGCAATACTCACCCACTCCCACCCCCTCACTGCCTTTCACTCCCAGGCCTTCAGTGACCCATCTGCCAAGTGCTCACCATGATGTTGGGCAATGTGGCATATCGGGGCTCATTGAGCCGCAGATCGGCAGTCACCACCGCAGGCAGCTTCAGGCGCAGGGTCTCCAGGCCCCCATCAATCTCCCGCTCCACTTTCACCTTGTCCCCTTCCAGTGTCACCTGGGAGGCGAAGGTGCCCTGGGGAGGGACAGTAGGGGGGTGGGGGAGAATGGGCAGATTAATTCAGGGCAGGCGCCGAGCAGTCCTCCTCAGGCCACTACACTCACAGAGAAGTAAATGAATGACAGAAAAGAAGGAGTATCCTGCAATGTGAACTACAGACACCGAGATCAAAAACGGGAGGAAGCCACAGAAAGAGATCTCAAAAAATCTAGGGAGGGTGTTGTTACTTTCACTGGAAGCCAAGGTGTAGGTCCTACCATCCTGAACCAGCCAACTGGGTCTCCCTTCCTTAATAACAATGAACACGCATTGAATATTAGGCACCATTCTCAGTAATGTAACCGTAGTTAAGTCATCAGATCCTCACAGGAACTCTATGAGGGAAATGCTACTCTCCCCACTTTACAAATGAGGAAAACTGAGGTAGAGGGGGGTTCAAAGACATGCCCACTGTCACCTACAGCTGTCAAATCTGAAAGCTAGCAGTCTGGCTCTAGGCTCCATGGCATGCTGTCACCTACCCACCATTCTGTCCCCAAGGGTTCCCTTCAAGGCCCCTCTGCGGGGCCAACAGCAGCCTCATGTGTCCCCTCCATCCTCAAAGTGTTCTCTGGGGCCTCATCTTCTTGGCTCAGGGGACACCCTCTGGCCCAGGCCCCTTGCCCCTCAGTCCTGAATCATCATTTTCTGATGTGACCTATACCATTTGTCTAACCAATCTGTTCTCGCCATTCATTTACTCGCTGGAAAAATCTTTCAGGTCTTGGAATGTCCCATTATTCCCAGTCTCTTCCACAGAGTGGCCCCCTGAGCCTGGTTCTGGGGATACACAGTGAACACAACCAACAAGGCCCTGGCTTTTGTGGCACTTACCCTGGCAGGGAAAGCCACCAGTAACCAAGTGAACACACGCTCACCACTGGCCACATGTGGTAAAACGTGGCTATTGTGATTGATGGAAGGAAGGCAGAATTTATCATTTCATTTAATTATTTTAAATTTAAAAGCCAATAAACAAGATACATTATCAGGATTGTGGTGATGGCTTCATGAATGTATACATGTATCAAAGCCTATCAAATTGTACACTTTAAGTGTGTGCAGTTTATTGTAGGTCAGTTATATCTCAATAAAGCTGTTTTAAGAAAACAATACTCGATGCAGTTATTGGGAAACATTTAAGTCTGTTTGGAAAAACTTGGGTGTATGAATCTACTTTTTCAACTATGAATTTTAGGAATCTAAATTATGTTATTTCTGATGGAAATTTACCATCTGAATGGAGATGTGCTGTCAATATAATATACGCTGGCTTTCAAAAATTTTGTATAAAAAGAAAAAAGAGGGCCGGCCGAGTGGCGCGATGGTTAAGAGCTGGCTTGGGACGCCAGAGGGCCCCGGTTCGGATCCCACATATGAGGGCCAGTGACACTGCCCTCCACAGCTAAGATGCTGAACAACAGCTCAACCTGCAGCTGGGTTGCTGTGAGTCGCCAGCGACGGCGTAGGCTGCAGCCCCTGCTGCAGTGGGTTGCCATGGACTACCGTGAGTAGCCAGCAGCCAGCGTGAGCGGCCAGCAGCCATAGTGAGTGGCCGTCCAGAAGCCGGCGACTGATCTGCCTCGCCTGGGAAGAACGCAATGATGGTGCCAACTTGGGCCAGTGAAGCAACGTCCTCCACAACTAGACTGAAGAACAAAAGGACAGCAACTTGTCTGTTCCCCTTTCCCCAATTCCCTAGGGCTGTTCCCATCCCCCAATTCCTTAATAAAAATCTTTAAAAATAAAAAGAAAAAAGAATGTAAAATAGCTCAATACTTTTACATTGATTACATATTGAAATGATATTTTAGATATATTGGGTTAAATAAAATATCATTAAAATTAATTTGCCTGTTAGTACTTTTTTATTTTATTTTATTTTTTAAGATTTTTATTGGGGATCTGAACCGGGGCCCTCTGGCATCCCAAGCCAGCTCTTAACTAACGCGCCACTCGGCCGGCCCTGTTAGTACTTTTTTAATGTGGCTATGAAAAATTTTAAATGACCAATGTGGCTTGCATTTCTATTGGACTGGCACAAGCAGGCATTGGGGGACCTGGAGTTTGGAGGGGGCATGAGTATTTCACAGAGGGCGGCCAAGGAAGGCCTCTCTGAAGAAGTGACACTGAGAGGTCTCTACCTGAAGGAGGAGAGTGAAAAGCCCTGCGGAAATCTAAGGGAACTGTGTTCCAGGCTGAGGAAGCAGCAAGTACAGAGGCCCTGAAGCAGGACTGAGATTGGAGGGGCTGAGGAGCAGCAGGCCTAGAGGAGGCCTGGTGTCCTAGCTGGGGGCTCCTCTGTCCTACCTGTTGGAATAGCCATCCTGCCCTTTACCCGCCTCCCTTCAGAAGGGCGGGGACACCGATGGGTGTGTCAGGCCTGGCCCTCAGCAGGTGCTCCCCTCTCCCGCCTCACCTGTGGCCAGTCCAGAAAGCCGGCTGTCATCTGCCCCGTCTGGTTACAGTCATCATCGATGGCCTGAGTGGGGAAAGAGAAGAGACTATGACAACGGGGTATCTCAGGCACAACGGGGGCCTTTGTCTCGAACAAGAATTGGCAAATGTTTTCTACACTGGCTCAGATGGCAAATATCATCCAGTCTGTCATAGCAACCCACCTCTGCTGTAGCGCATGAGCAGCCAGGCCATGCATGTCTACCTAAACAAATGGGTGTGGTGGCATTTCAATAAAACTTTATTTACAAAATCAGTGGTGGCCAAAGCCAGTTTGCTGACTCCTGGTCTAGAATGATCCCATCCCTTCACATGGGCCCAGAGACAGGCAGTCACTCGTCCGGGGGCACATGAGGGCACCGGGTATCCCCGATGCTAAATCTTTGCCCAATTTAAATATTCACAGAAGTCTCCCAGGAGCCAGGCCCTGGGCAGGCCACACAACAGGATCTGGGCCAATGAGAACATTCTATCTCTGACCCCAGTGACTGGGTCAGGGATGGGCACATGACTCCAGCTGGACCAATGAAGAGTTAGCCCTGG